TTATTCGCACATTGTTTGCAGAAATTACAAGAATTTTGAATCACATTATGGCAGTGATGTCACATTCTCTTGGTAATTATTTATATGATCATTATATTTTAGATAGGTATGTTGATGAAAATTTATATTTGATCAAGACATTAACATTTGGTTTTTTTCTTTTTTTTTAAGAAAAAAATATTTATTTATAATTTACATGTAATTATAATAAATTATCTAAAATGATATAAATATCATAATTAATCTCTTTTTTTTTTGAAAATGGGATACATATAAAGAGATAAAATCTATTACTTATCAAATAATTGCTTTTGATCAAATTGTAAAAAAATACATTTAATAATCATCCCACCCAAAAAAAAATTAAATATTTATAAAATATATATATATATATATATATAATAATCTATTATCTTGTATCCAATTTGATCATTTTGAAATGACCTTTTATCTATCTATTTCACCAAATACAATATCCATGGTGCCTATCACTAAATTATTGGAAAAAATTAATTCCAATAACTAAAATTCCGATAATAAAAATCAGGATAATAGATACCTGTAACCATATCAGGAATGTAATGCCCACGAGACATAAAATCAGAGCCTGCTAAATGAGCGAATCCCGGTGCACGGATTTTGCATCTATATGGACGATTTGTTCCTGTTGCAAAGAAATATTAAAGTATTATTAATATGTTTATTAAAATATAATTAAATATAATCAATATATTATATGCATAAATTAAATGATCAACTTACCATCAGAAACAAGATAAACACCGAACTCTCCTTTTGGTGCTTCAATTGCAGTATAAGTTTCACCAGGTGGAACAGAATATCCTTCCGAGTACAATTTGAAATGGTGAATCAATGCTTCCATACTTTCTTTCATTGAAGATCTATTTGGTGGTGATATCTTCCAATCATCAACTTTTACAGCTCCGGGTGGCATTTTATTTAAACATTGATGAATAATTCTTAGACTTTGTCTCATTTCTTCAACTCGACAAAGATATCTATCATAACAATCTCCTGTAGTACCAACTGGTACATCAAATTCTACTTGATCATATGCATCATATGGTTGAACTTTACGTAAATCCCATTTAACCCCGGATCCACGTAACATCACTCCCGAAAAACTATAATCTAAAGCATTTTATGGAATTTCTTCTCAAACCACTAAA